GTAATATAGTTTCATCCTTATGTCATATTGTGCATTTGTTCCTGGGATCCTCAACCTCTCAAATGATGTTTTAAAATTTGTGTACTTTAAATAAAGTTCACTCTTTGTGCCACAAGGTTCTATGGGTTTTGAGAAACCCATCGTGTCCTGTACCTACTTTCACTGTAGCATAAGAATAATTTCCTGCGTTAAAAAACATTTATTGTGCTGCTTCTATTAATTATCACCCTGAATCCTGGCAACCATTGATGTGCTTACCATCTGTATAGTTTTTTCATACCCAGAATGTGATAGAATTGGAATCATACAATATATAGTCTTTTCATAGTAGGTTTTTTTAACTTAGCAATATTCGTTTGAGGCTCATCATGTTTTCTGCTTGCTTATAGCTCATTACTTTTATTGTTTAACAATTTTCCATTGTGTGCATGTATTACAGGTTTCTTTTCCCATGTACCAATTGAAAAACATCTTGGTTGTTTCCAGGTTTTTGGTGACTATGAATGAAGCTGCTAAACATTCATGTGCAGGTTTTTCTGTGGATATGTTTTCAAATCAGTTGGTTAAATACCCAGAAATGTAATTGCTGAAACTTAAAAACCTTACAAATATCAAGTTTTCCAGTCCACAAACATGAAACATATTTTTATTTACATAGATATAATTTGATTTCTTTTATCAGAGCTTTATATTTTCCCATATAGATCTTGTGCACATTTTATTAGATTTATATGCTAAATACTTCATTTAAAAATTTTTATTTTTTATTTTTTTAATAATTAATTTTTGTGAGTACAAAGGAGTTGTTGTATATATTTATGGGGTACATGAGATATTTTGATACAGTCACGCAATGTATAATCATATCAGGGGAAATAAGGTATTCACCACCTCAAGCATTTATTCTTTCTTTGTGTTTTAAACAATACAATTATACTTTTTTAGTTATTCTAAAATGTACAATAAATTATTGTTGACCACAGTCACCCTGTTGTTCTGTCAAATACTAGTTTTCATTCATTTCATTTAGCTATGTTTTTGTACACATTAACCATCCCCACTTCTCTGACCCTATACAACTACCCTTCCCAACTTCTGGTAACCCTCATTCTACTATCTATCTCTGTGAGTTCAATTGGTTTAGTATTTTTAATATCTACAAATAAACAAGAACATGTAAAGTTTGTCTTTCTGTAATTGGTTTATTTTATTTTACATAATGATCTCCAGTTCTATCCTTGTGGTAAATGACAGGATCTCATTTTTTTTATATAGCTGAATAGTACTCCATATTTTATAAGTACCACATTTTCTTTATTCATTCATCTATTGATGGACACTATTGTAAATAGTGCTGTGATAAACCTAGGACTGCAGATATCTCTTCAATCTACTGATTTCCTTTCTTTACAGTGTATACCTAGAGGTGAGATTGCTGAATCATTTGGTAGTTCTATTTTTAGCTTTCTGAGGAACTGCCAAACTTTTCTTCATAGTGGTTGTGCTAATTTACATTCCCATCAACAGTGTACAAGTGCTTCCTTTTTTTCACATCCTTGCCAGATTTTATTATTGTCTATCTTTTAGGTATAAGTGATTTTTAACTGTGTAAGATGATATCTAATTGTAGTTTTGATTTGCATTTCTCTGATCAGCGATGTTGAGCATTTTTTCATATGTCTGTCTGTCATTGTATATCTTATTTTGAGAAATATCTATTCAAATCTTTGCCCTAGTCAATGTTATCTTGTAGTAGTTTCATACTTTAAGGTCTTATATATAAGTCTTTACTCATGTTGATTTGATTTTTGTGTATATAGAGAGATAGGGATCCAGTTTCACTCTTTTTTATATTTTCATGTGGATATTGAGCTTTCCCAGCACCATTCATTGAAGAGAGTGTCCTTTCCCCAATGTAAGTTCTTGAAAGCTTTCTCAAAAATGAGTTCAATGTAGATGTATGGATTTATTTCCAGGTTCTACATTCCACTCTATTGGTTCATGTGTCTATTTGTAGGTCAGTACCATGCTGTTTTGGTTATTGTAGCTCTGTAATATAAGGTGAAATCAGGTAATGTAATGTCTCCAGTTTAATTCTTTTTGCTGAGAATAACAAAAAAGACCTTTTTTTTTTTTTTGGCTAACTTTGCCTATTTTCAGTCATCTATGGTTCAATATAAATTTTAGGATTGTTTTTTCCATTTCTGTGAACTATGTCATTGGTATTTTGATAGGAATTGTATGGAATCAGTAGATTGTTTTGGATAGTATGGACATTTTAACAATATTGATTTTTGCAATCCATGAACATGAGATATATTTCCATTTTCTATGTCCTCTTCAACTTTTTTCATCAATGTTTTATAGTTTTTGTCATAGAGATTTTTCATTTCTTTGGCTAACTTAATTCCTGGGTATCTTATTTTATTTTATTTATAGCTATCGTAAGTGGAATTACTTTTTAAAAATTATTTTTGATGCTGGCATATAGAAATGCTACTAATTTTTGTGTGTTGATTTTATATTCTTCTGAATTTGTATATCCAACTAAATTTATCAGTTTTAATACATTTTTGGTCAAATTTTTATTTTATTTTTTAAATATAAGATCATATCATCTGCAAACAAAGATAATTTACTTCTTTCTTTCTAATTTTGATGTCCTTTAATTCTTTCTCTTGACTGATTACTCTAGTTAAAACTTCCAGTAAAATGTTGAATAACAGTGATTAAAGTGGGCATCCTTATCTTGTTCCAGGTCATAGATGAAAAGCTTTCAATTTTTCCTTATTTAGTATGATACCAGTAGTGAGTCTATCGTATGCAGCTTTTATTGTATGTTGAGATACAGTCCTTCTATGTCTAGTTTTTTAATGGTTTTTATTATGAACAATGTTAAATTTTATCAAATGCTTTTTCAGCACTCTTCAGTATGCCAATTGCATTTTTCAGCTCCAAAATGTCTGCTTGATTCTTATTATTTTAATCTTTGGTGAAATTCATCTGATAGAATTCCGAATTTCTTCTCTGTGTTCTCTTAGACTTCATTAGCTTTCTCAAAATAGCTATTTTGGATTATTTGTCTGAAAGGTCACATTCTCTTTCTCTCTGGGATTGGTCACTGGTGGCTTATTCAGATTGTTTAGTGAGGTCATATTTTCCTAGATGGTCTTGATGCTTCTGGATGTTAGTCGGTATCCGGGCATTGAAGAATTAGATATTTATTGTAGTCTTCATAGTCTGGGCTTGTTTGTACTTGTCCTTCTTGGGAGTTTTTCCAAGTATTTGAAGATACTTCAGTGCTGTGCTCTAAGTCTTTGGTTACTTGCAGCTGTGTCTGCTTTAGGGGCCACCCACATCCCAGTAGTGCCGTGACTGCTGCAGACTCACAGATTTACCTCTTTGGTGGTCTTGCATAAGATCTGGGAGAATTCTCGGGAATATCAGGGAGAGACTCTTGTTCTCTTCTTTCACATTTCCCCAGATGAACAATGTCTCTGTCTTGCTGTGCTGAGTTGCCTGAAGGTATGAGAGGGGTGACATAAGCACCCCTGAGACCCAAACGACTGGGACGCTTTAGGTAGCGGGCAAAAAATTCTTCCATGACAGGACCCTTTCCTTTAAAGTGGCAGGTTTCCTTCCGGCCAGGGTATGTCTAGAAATGTCTTCTGGGAGCTAAAACCTGGAATGGGAGCCTCAGGACTTTGCCTGGTGACCTGGTCTACTATAGCTGAACTATTATCCAACTTGCAAGACAATTTTATATGTATATAATTTTATATGGTATACAAAAAACACTTGACTTTTTAATGTTAGCCTTATGTCCTGCAACCTTGTTATAATTGCCTGTAAGTTCTAGAAGGATGTTTTTGTTGTTGATTCTTTTTGTTGATAAATTCACATATAAACCATTATGTCACATATAAATAAAATGTTTTTATTCATGTATCTTCAGGCTCCATGAGTCTTTTTTTGACTGTGTCAAATCTACTGGTGAGCTTATTAATGACATTAAGAGTTCTATTACAGAGTTTTTATTTCTTGCATTTCATTTAATTATTTGAGTCTTTACCTCTCTGCTTGTATTACTCATCTGTTCTGGCTTTTGTCTACTTTTTCCATTAGATCACTTAATGTATTAATCATAATTATTTTAAATTCCTTAACTGTTATTTCTCACATTTATAGCATATCCTAATTGTGATTCTGAAGGTTACTTAGTCTCTTCATGTTATCTAGTGAAATAACTACATGACCTAGACAAATTTCTACCATACCTCAATTCTGGTTATCTTTAGGAAGCAGAATGCCTGAGGTCAAAATTCCCTCCTTATTACCAGACTAGCTAAGACTGGTGGGATCCAAGATGACTCTCTTGATTACTGTGGAACCTCTAATTTCATTATAACCTAATTTTCATGTAAAGTGACACTCACACCAGTACCATGACAGTTGACAATCACCATGACATCAAATAGAAAAAACCATAAAAGGACGAAAAGGAAGGTGACAATTCCAGTTTCTACGTGTTCTCTACTTATTCCTTGAAAAGTCATGAATATTTCTCTCCTTACTTTTAGTGCTTAACCTCTTTATTAAAGATGCCCAATATCTGTTACTACCTGGTCCTCATGGGCTGAGAAGTTGATTTGTGAGCCAAATCCCTGCTTCTTAATTCCAAGCCCATCTAATAGCGTCTGCACTGCTTAATGCTCCCTTTTGGTTTAGCATATTGGCTTCGTGGCACTGCAGAGGGAAAGACCACATTTTTTTTGAGAATTAGCTTTGTCAGCAACATTCAGACTACACACCCACACATATACACACCTATATGCTGCCTTTTCTGTGTGTGTGTGTATGTGTATGTGTGTGTGTGTGTGTGTGTATACACATATATATATATATGTATTGCCTTTTGCCTTTGGTATGTACTGTAACTTTTTGTTGAAAGCTGGACAAGTTGAATTGAATAGCAGGAACTGAGATAAATCAGCCTTTAATGTGTATATTTATACTAATTGGTCTAGGAATTGAGCCACGTTTAATGTTTGCTATAGCTGCAGGTGCCAGATACTTCAAATTCCTTTAGCGCGCTCATTCTATCTCACCTCTTCAGCCTTCTCTAGGTACCCCTGAAACAGTCTGTGTTCTGTGGCTCTTGCACCTGTAACCCACTCACTAATAATATATTGAAACTGTTGGTGTGGACTTAAGGTACGAGGGATGGAAAATGTTCCCATATCTTCCAACTAAATCTCAGTCTTTCAGTAGATCTGTGTCTTAAGGTGGCTAACTTCAAACATGTATTTCCTGTTCTATTCCCTTGACCTCCTGCATCCTTCTCCGGCTGAAGAATAACAAAATTCTTTCCTGGAAGCCCTGGACGTTGTTGATATGCCCTTCTTCCAATGGGCATACGACTCGAAAACTTCTTCACCTTGGAGAATTGGCCTTTGTTATGGAAATGTCTGGGCATGTTTTACTCTGGTCATGCTTTCTCTCTCTCTGTCAGACCTACAAGAGAGGGGATACTTCTCAGACCTTTACTGTAAGAACCTGTTAAGATTCAATGAGGAAAAACCCATGAAAGAGTAAGGTCTCCCTAAGACTGCAACCCCCAGAGTTTCTTATTTTCCAGTTAGAACACACTCAGCCTCAAGCAAAAACTACTGTTCACAGGTTCTTTTCAGTTTCTGGCTCAGTGGCTTCTGTTCTAGGCCAGCAAATCTCAAGTGTCACTGTCTGAATTCCCCTTTTTTTTTTTTCCTTGAGACGGAGTTTTGCTCTCGTTACCCAGGCTGGAGTGCAATGGCACGATCTCGGCTCACCGCAACCTCCGCCTCCTGGGTTCAGGCAATTCTCCTGCCTCAGCCTCCTGAGTAGCTGGGATTACAGACACATGTCACCATACCCAGCTAATTTTTCGTATTTTTAGTAGAGACGGGGTTTCACCATGTTGACCAGGATAGTCTCGATCTCTTGACCTCGTGATCCACCTTCTTCAGCCTCCCAAAGTACTGGGATTACAGGCTTGAGCCACCATGCCCGGCCTGAATTCCCCTATTTGTTTAGGTTTCAAGATGGTTGTTGGCTTGGCTACCTCAGTTTTCCAATAACCACAAGAAAGGCCACTGACCTTTTATTTGTCCCAGTTTTTCTTGCAAGTAGAAGAGTGATGGCTTTCATGTTATTTTCATGTCAAGGCTGAAGCTGGAAATCAGAACTTTTATGTTTTACTATGTATAATTTTGTTCAATTATTTCATCTATAATAAGCATATATTAATGTTGATATGAAATAAGTAAAATAAATATATTGCTCATTTATGTAGTTTATTGGGCAGAGATCAGGTTGAAATAAACCTGAAACACAAAGCTCTTAACAGACTTTATGAAAGGGCCAAGAATGAAAGGTAAATTTAAATAACCTTTTCTGGGATAATTCTTTGATATCCTCACAGATTAGATAAGAATCAAATTTCATATATGCTTATATGCACACATATACAAGTACATACATATGATACGTATATACAAATAAGTACTATGTGAATTATGTGTATTATATGAAACTATATTTGCCTGAAGAGGTTGGATAGCATAAACCTTAAGCTTATAGACTTTGGAAGCAATGCTTGGGTTCAAATTCAGTACCATCAAGTTTGTCAGCTTAAAGCACTATTTACTAAAAAAGTAATAAAAAGACAATGCTTAATGTCTACTGTATTATATGAACTATATTAGAGTCTTTACATATTTTAATTGACACTACCATCCTATGGAAAGTGTATTTTGAAAGCCCTTTTTATAGTTGAACAAACTGAAGTCTCAGAATGATATACCACTTGCCTCAGGCTGTACAGCCAAGATGTGAGAGAGCTTGGATTTGATTCCAAAACTGCTGGGTCTCAAATTAAGTCGTTTTCTGTTCTCTGCTTCCCATAAATGGTAGGAAGATTAGACCCAATCCCACTATGTGATCTGGGGAGAAGTTCTAAGGTTCTGAGATGCATTCAGTTGGCTTAAGTTGAACTGTCAGCATTAGGAATGAGCCCACGTTGACTCTTCTTGCCCTTGGCTGAAATCCTTGTACAAAGATAGTAACCAGTTATGCCTCTTTGACAAACTCTTGTAATTGGTTCCTGGATTTCTCTTGTCTTTGATCTTCCATAACATATTTATCAATTTTCCTAACATAGCTGCCACCTAGTCATGCACTTTGGTGTTAGCCTAGTGATGAAGATTTTGAAGTCAGACTCCCTGGGGTTATCGACTGATTCTGTGACTTATAAGTTACGAAGCTTAAAAATGATCCAACCCCAACTTTCTCCTCAGCAATTCAGGGTAATTGTAATACCTACCTCATCAGGTGTTTTTGGGAACCCAAATGAAGTAAGTCTTGTAAAGGACTTATTAGCTAAGTGCCTTACACCTCATTGTTCAATACAGTGTGCTCTAGCTGCAGGTGCTGACAGAGTATTTCAAAGAGAGTTCATGCAAATGAAAATGAGCATTAAGTATGAGAAGTACGATGGATTTAGAAGACTCAAAACAAAAGACCGAATACAAAACAGCTCATTAATAATAGTTAGTGTTGACTATCGAAACAGTAATATCTTGGATATAGTAAGCTTAGTTTTTTAGTCTTTTTTTCTGTTTACTTTCTTTTAAGGTGGCTATTAGAAAACTTAAAATTATGTATGTAACTTGAATTATTATACAGTTATACAAAACTGTATAATTATTATGCAGTTATACCAACATTATACAGTTGACCCTTAAGCAACATGGATTTGAGTTGTATGGGTCTATTTATACCTGACTTTTCTTCTGCCTCTGCCTCCCCTTAGACAGGAATACGAACTCCTCCTCTTCTTTCTCCTCAGCTCACTCAGTGTGAAGATAACAAGAATAAAGACTTAGTAAATCTATTTTATTTTCCTTATGATTGTCTTAATAAAATTTTGTTTTCTCTAGCTCACTTTATTGGAAAAATATAATATCTACAATATATAACATACAAAATATGTGTTAATCGACTGTTTATGTTATTGGTAAGGTGTAAGACTTCTAATCAACAATAGTTTGGTAGTAGTTAAATTTTTGAGGAGTTGAAAGTTATATGCAGACTACTAATTGTGCAGGGGTCAGCTCCCCTAACCTTTGTTTTGTTCAAGGGTGAACTGTGTCTGGACAGTGTTGCTGTAATACATAACAGACGCTCAATAAACATTATTTTTCATTATTATTAAGTTCTGCAGCCAGTGAATTATGATCATTATGCCTCATTTGTTGGTTTAAACTTATTCATTTTAAGGAATATCTTAGTAGCCTGAAAGTGTTTAACACCAAAACTAACATGATATAATCTATCCTTCAAAACATGCTATTGTTCTTCTGTAAGAAAAAAGTAAATGTGTGAAGTGAAAATATGTTTCTCATTTCTTGCTTTCAGTATTCTCCTGAGGTATAACAGACCATATTAATGACATTAGAAGACCTTGATTTATGTTGATTGATAATATGGGAATAACTGACACTTAAAGCATGACATCTGAATTCTGCCTTAATTTCATTTCTACAGAATAGAATGATTATTGGAGCCTGAACTCTTGCAGCTACATCAGCAATCTATGATCTCTGCCCAAAGTAATAAAATGTACTAATGAAACATGATAGATGTAATTGGTAAATTATGAAGCAGTATAACATTTATGTTTACAACACTATTTTGGAAGGATTCCACCAACATCAAATGTGCTAAGATAATAATTAGCTTTATAGGTTTATTGAAAAATTGTTATTTATGAAACATTATCAGAAATGATTCATCATTTTTCATGGTGCTAATTTTGCAAATACCTGGAAAATCTTGATTATTGAAATTTTGCTAGTCTTCTCCTTGGGTCAAGACTAGATCCTCAAGAATTCCCCTATTTTTTGTCAGTTCTTTATGAATCCCCTAAATATCCATGGAGTCAAATCTATTTAGGGCCTATCTTCCCTGCATATCATCCCTACTTCTCAGACTGGAGCTCCATTCTTAACCAGTTTTTATCACTGTTATCAAGAGATATGCTACTAATTGCTCTCAGAATAAGTGGCTTCCACTTATTTGTGCATGAAGTACTAACTGAATATGTTATCAATAAAAATGTACTCTATCTCCAAATCATAAGCTATAAAAATGTACTAGAAAATGTGAAAAGAAAAACTTAAAGTCTTTAACATATTGACATGATATATTTTTGTATTCTTAAACTTAATAAGAAAATTTTGACACCAATTTGATGGCAGAGAGAGTACTGTGAAACAGCATTAGTACCTATTTACTAAACTCCTTATCCACTCAGTTTAAATATACTATTATATACCTAGTTCAAAATAATAAATGTGTTCTCTCTTTGAATATTAAACAATCAGGACTAAATTATAAACAAGTAAAAAAAATCCCTAATTCTATCTGTAAGATAATAAAACTACAGGATTATTAAACTTCTCTGATGTTATCAGTAGTTAAAAGCTCAAAGCTTAGAGTAACAAAAAGACATAAACCATTTATTAATTTCAAACTCCCAGGAACATCCAGAATTAATATATACATATTTTCTAATTGAGAATTTTAAATAAATAAAAAATAAGCAAGTGCTATTTATTTTTTTAAAAATCCCATATTATTTTGAAACACAGCTAGGCAAGGAGTGGGAGAAAGGTAAAAGTCACTGAAATCTAAAGGTCATATGAACAGCTGCTTTTTATAGTAAGATTCTAAAATTGAATAAATTTTAAATGCAGTATTCTCTTAGTGACCTGCATTTACAACTGATCCCCAAGAAGAGAATGAATTATCCTATTAATTTTACTATTTAGACCAAATTCAGTTTTTTTAAGAAAGAGAAAAAAGAAAGGAAGAAAAAGAAAGAAAAGAAAGAAAAAAAAGAGAAAGAAAGAAAAGAACAAAAGAAAGAAAGAGGAAGAGAAAGAGGAAGAGAGAGCATGAATCTTGCTCTGTTGCCCAGGCTAGAATGCAGTCTAAAAATGAGTATTGGAAACCTCTTTTATGCCAATAATTGTGCTTAACAATTGATACAGGAAGGAATAAGGGAGGAAAATAACAAACAAGCACCCAACCAATATTTCATTTAAAACTGTGAAATGCTATGCAATTGCTGAGGAGTGCTTTACTTCCAATTTTATGGTCACTTTTATAATAGGTGTGATGTGATACTGAGATAAATGTATGTTTTGTGGATATGGGGTGGAGAGTTCTGTAAATGTTTATTAAGTTTACTTATTCCAGGTCTGAGTTCAAGTCCTGGATATCCTTATTAATTTTCTATCTGGTTGATCTGTCTAATATTGACAATGTAGTGTTAATGTCTCCCACTATTATTTTGTGGGAGTCTAAGTTTCTTTGTAAGTCATTAAGAACTTGCCTTATATATCTGGGGGCTCCTGTATTTGGTACGTATATATTTAGGATCATTAGCTCTTCTTGTTGCATTGATTCTTTTACCATTATGTAATGTCCTTCTTTGTCTCTTTTGGTCTTTGTTGCTTTAAGATCTATTTTATCAGAGACAAGAATTACAACTCCTGTTTTTTTTTTCTCTCTCTCTCCATGTTGTTGGTAAATCTTCCTCCATCCCTTTGATTTGAGTCTTTGTGTATCCTTGCATGTGAGATGGGTCTGGATGCAGCATACTGATGAATTTTGGCTTTTTATCCAATTTGCCTGTCTGTGTCTTTTGATTGGGGCATTTAGTCCATTTAAATTTGGGATTGATATTGATATATATGCATTTAATACTGCTATTTAATGCTAGCTGGCTGTTTTGCCCATTAGTTGATGTAAATTCTTCATTATAGTGATGCTCTTTATCTTTTGGTATGGTTTTGGAATGGCTGATACTAGTTGTTCCTTCCAATGTGTAATGCTTCTTTCAGAAGCTCTTGTAAAGCAGGCCTGGTGGTGATGAAATCTCTGAGTACTTGCTTGTTTGCAAAAAATTTTATTTTTCCTTCACTTATGAAGCTTAGTTTGGCTGGATATGAAATTTTGGGTAGAAAGTTCTTTTCTTTAAGAATGTTGGATATTGGCCCCCACTCTCTTCTGGCTTGTAGGGTTTCTGCTGAGAGATCTGCTGTGAGTCTGATAGGCTTCCCTTTGTGGGTAACCTGACCTTTTTCTCTGGCTGCCCTTAGCATTTTCTGCTTCATTTCAACCCTGGTGAATCTAACGTTTATGCGTCTTGGGCTGCTCTTCTTAAGGAATATCTCTGTGGTGTTCTCTGTATTACCTGAAGTTGAGTATTGTCCTGCCTTGCTAGGTTGGGAAAGTTTTCCTGGATGATATCCTGAAGAGTATTTTCCAGCTTGGATTCATTCTGTTTGTCACATTCAGGTACACCTATCAAACATAGATTAGGTCTTTTCACATAGTCCCATATTTCTTGGAGGCTTTGCTCATTCCTTTTTACCCTTTTTTCTCTAACCTTGTCTTCTCACTTTATTTCATTAAGTTGGTCTTCGATCTCTGATATCCTTTCTTCTCCTTGATCAATTTGACTGTTAAAACTTGAGCATACTTCACAAGATTCTGGTATTGTGTGTTTCAACTCTATTAATTCACTTACATTCCTCTCTAAATTGTCTATTCTCATTAGCAGTTTGTCAAACCTTTTTTCATGGTGCTTAGTTTCTTTGCATTGGGTTAGAACATGTTCTTTTAGCTCACAGAAGTTTCTTATTATCCACCTTCTGATGCCTGATTCTATCAATTCATTACACTCATTCTCCATCAGGCCTTGTTCTGTTGCTGATGAGGAGCTGTGATCTGCTGTAGGAGGAGAGACATTCTGATTTCAGGTGTTTTCAGCATTTTTGCACTGGTTTCTTCCCATCTTTGTGGATTTACCCACCTGTCTTCTTTATAATTGCTGACTTTCAGATCGGGTCTCTGAGTGGGCATTCAGCTTGTTGGTGATGAAGTTTTTTCCGTTTCTTAGTTTTCCTTTGGCAGATGCCCCTACCCAACAGAGCTGGACAATCCCAGGTTCAGCTGTGCTTGCTGTGAAACTCTCAATCTTCAGTGCTTCCAATTGCTTTTTTTTTGTGGGGGGAGGGGCGGGACCAGCCAAGCCTGATCACCTGGCTCCCTGTCTCAGCGCCTCTTCTTCTTTTTTTTTTTTTTTGTTGAATGATCAACTCTCTCCCTGGTGTTCCAGTTGCCTGCTGAAAAGGCGCCAGAAGCTGTGTAATTTCCCCTGCAGCCACCCACTGCGCCGGCTGAAACCGCAGTGTTGAGATTCGTGGCTCTTTTCTGCCGGAAAATCAGCTGGTCTGGCTCCCCACTTCAGTCCCCTTTTCAATCAGCTGGATGGGTGACTCTGCCTTCCCGGAGCTCCAAATGCCAACTAAAAGAGCACCCAGTCCTGCATACTCTGCACTGAGAACTGCCATGCTGGGGAGCCAGGAAAACAGCCGTGCCGACCAAGAGTCATGCTGGTGACCCATGGGGCTCCTCTGCTGGGAATCTCCTGGTCCGTGGGCAACAAAAATTCGTCTGGAATTGTGACGTCCACTCACTCTCTGCACTTTCACTGGGAGCTACAGTCCTGAGCTGCTGCTAATCGGCCATCTTGGATCTCCTCTCCAAATTCAATTTTTAAAAAATGATAACAATTAATAGTGTCTTAAAGTAGAATGAATTTGTTTCCCACTCACCTTGTGAAATAAATCATTTATTGAAATAATTTTACATGAAAATTTATTATTAATTGCTGAATTACTCTCTTACAAAGACTCTTGGTACACATGTTTCAGAACTTGCTGCACCGCATTAGATTAAAAATGAATTCTCCCACACAATGGAGAAAGACTGCTGCTTGACAGAGTTATGTGATATGGTTTCAGGTGATTGAACATGATAGTCTTTTCTTTAGATTGAATGGCAAAGTATAACTTGTTTAAGGCTTTATGTTTATTAAGTTATCCATATGGTATTGAATCTCATGCCAATTATCAACCTAGAAGGAGGACATGCTCAGTCTTGTAGACTATTCTGTACTGGTCATGTTGCTTGGTCCTATATTTCCAATGCCTTCAACACATCTCCACACTCAAATATTCTTCCCATGCCTCCACTATGGTCCATGTTGCTACCTTCATGGCTATGCCTTTAATTGCTCTGGATTCCAGGCTCCTTAATCAAAATAGTGCCCTAATCATAGTGACTAGAACTTTCAGGACATTACCACATGCTAGGCACTGTGCTGAGCACTCTTCATGGATATTAGTTAACCCTCACACGAACTGTGTGAGTGCTTCTAGGGAACATGCCAACAGATCCTAATGTGCATTTTCAAAGCATGGAACCTGCGGCTTAAGAAAGTAAGAAATTTGCCCAGAGTTCCAACCACCAAGTGGTAGAGCTTGTGCACAGTCTGACTCCAGACCCTACTCTTTACATCACAATCCATGCCATCCAGTCACGTGGTCCTGTCATCAACTTGGGGAATGCACCTTCTGCTGAAGTTCCCATGACTTCCACCCAGGATATTCTCTAGCTCTTCTCTCTACCCACTGTCCAGAGTTGTGCTTTTAGCTAGCTTCCCCAAGCGTAGATGGGAGCCAATGAGGTTGGGGTAGAGCATGGGCTTTTCACCCAAAGTACGACTTTGTTTTAGCCTGACACATACAGGAAGCTTCCTAGGAGAGTGACGGTTTCTGTATGTAGGCTTCCAGGTGTACATTTTACATCAGACAATCTATTTTTCAATGCTGGCCTTCATGGGAAAATGTACTAAGTCACAACAAAGCACCCACCTTATGGTAGGAATGTATCAGTATACAAGATAAAATGTCTGCTCTAAAGATTCAGTATCTATGGGTATTCTGAGAGTTCCGTCACCTCTGGGGGTCCCCAATCTTGGTATCTGACTGCTTTAGAACAATAAGGTGACCAACTTTGTTTCTTATCCAGTATGTCCTTTATCTCTACTAGTAAAGTGTCTTCAGACAACTTTTTTGTCTGCCTAGGACAAATGTCCTCTCTTCTTGCAGTTAGGCCCCAGGGTATCACCTTACAGCAATCTTGATTGGGCACCAAATACCCCAGCATCTTGGCTGAGAAATGATAACTCAGAGGCAGAAGTACCCTTAACTTGAGGCTATTTGGTAGTAAAAGGAGACAAATGATTAGCTTGACTCTAAGAAAAGCCATGAAATCTCAGTGTAGGGCAATAGGCCAGAAGTCAGTAGATCATGAATAGTGGTCTAATTCGTAGGTAACTAGAGTATTGACTACAGAAGACCAGTGGTTATTTCTAAGCAAAACTTAAGCACAGTCGTGGTCCTGGAATTCTTTGGTCAAATTAGGGTGGGGAAAAAGAAAGATATGGAGGAGAACAGATAAATTTTTAAAAATCATGATAAATGTTTAAGAGATGATTTTCTTGAATTT